TACTAACCTAGATGGTATAGCCTCTTCCATACCTGTGATACATAGTATAGCTCATTGCTCTTACAAATCTATACAACATGAGACTGTACTGAGTACTGTAAGCAATTGTTACACAAAATTAAGTATTTATGTATCTAAACATATGTAAACATAGAAGAGGTACCTGTGTTAGGCTGTTCCTGCATTGCTCTAAAGAAATACCTGAGGCTGAGTAATTTATAAATGAAAGAGGTTTAGTTGACTCATGGTTCTGCAGCCAGCACAGGAAACATAGCTCCGGCATCTGTTTGACTTGTGGGGAGATCTCAAGGAAATTTTATTCATGGCAGAAGGCAAAACAGGAGCAGGTGTGCCACATGGCCAGAGTACGAGCAAAAGAGAAGTGGGAGGTGCCACACACTTAAAGAACCAGATCTTGTGAGAACTCACTCACTATCACAAGGAGAGCACCAAGCCATGAGGGATCCACCCCAATGACCCAAACACCTCCCACCAGGCCCCATCTCCAACACTGGGTATTATATTTCAACATGAGATTTGGTGGGGACATATATACAAATTATATCGGTACTGTAAAAATATGGCATGGTAATCTTATGGGACTACTGGTGTATAGACAGTCCATCATTGACCAAAACCTCAGCAGCACATGACTGTAAATTGAATGAAAAAATATGTGGTCTTTGGTGGCTGGCTTCTTTAGTTAGCATGTTTTCAAGTTTCATGCATGTTGTAGTATGCATCAGTACTTCATTCTTTTCCAGTGTAAATAAATAATATTCCATTGTTTGGAGATACCACATTTTATTTATCCATTCATCATAATGAATATCCAATCATCATTGATGGATATTTGAGTTGTTTCCTCTTTAGCGCTGTTTTAGGCATTCATGTATAAAGTTTTGCATGAACAAATTCTTACATTTCTCTTGGGTATATACCTAGCGAGGGAATTGCTGGGTCATATGGTAACTCTGTTTTGAAACTTTTGAGGAACTATTAGTCTGTTTTCCAAAGCAGCTGCACCATTTTATGTTCTTCCCTGATCTGCAGGTGGGAATATCTCTATAATCATTTGAGTGCATTATATGACTGATTTACATATAAACATAAAGCACTGATTTGCAAGATACAATTGGCAACCACACTATTTGTTGTATTTGGTTACTCACAAAACACATCTTATATTAGTCTATACCAGTGGCTGTCAGCCAGAAGTAATCTTCCCCCCAGAGGTGGTTGGCAACGTCTGGAAACATTTGTGGTTGTGAAGTATGTGTGTGTATGTGTTTGTATGTATGTATGTGTGTGTTACTAGTCTAGTAGGTGGAGTCCAGGGATGCTGTTAAATATCTTACAATGCATAAGACAGCCCCCAATAACAACAGAAAGACTTATCTAACCCAAAATGCCAATAGTGCTGAGGCTGAGAAAACCTGATGTCAACTCATAGTTCTCAAATTCACAATACTTCTTTTTACAAGTATACCACTTTCCTACTATTTATTATGTGCTTTAAAAGAGTCATGCCTGGGCATTTTCCGATTGGAATGCATATAATTTTACTATAGGAAACATTTAAAATCTTCTATATCATAGCCTGGAAATTATGTTGATTTTATAAAATATATAGATTATACTAGCTTCAAATTTAATTTCTGGATAATACATCTGCTAGAACAGGAATCAATGGTTTGGATCCATCAGGTTCAACACTGGGAGCTGGGATGGGTACAGCTTCCTCAGAGACTATTGGGCCTCCAGCGGGTGAATGCTGGAGGAGGACTGGGGGTCTGTGAGGGAGGAGGAAGAGGAGAATGCTGGACAGACAGTGAACAATGTCTATTACAATTTCTAGTGTTTGCCAAGATCCAGATTTTAGCTCTTGGGGAACCCTAACTGTATTTCCTACCTTGGTACTTTATAATCTCCTTTCTTTTGTAGCTTCGGCTCATCTCAGTAGATGATGTTAATTGCAACCAAAAGGATCCAGGAGTAAAACAAGGGCAGGTGGGAAGATAATGTAAGTGGAGGAAAAATAGTATGACATTCTCATAAGTTTAAAGAAGGACTGTAATAGATATGAATTAAAACTGTCTGGCCTGTTGGCTTTTGTCAGCAGATGTGGTTATGGGGCTTATCCGCTTAAGAATTTGAAAAAGATGCAGAAAACTTAGCCTTCATACTGAAGATGGTGCAGAGTTTACACGTGGGCAACAAAGGCTTCATAACAAAAGAAGTGTCATGGGAAAAACAAGAGCTGAAAACACTGCCTGCCCCTACGAAGTTGGTGCTATGAAACTTTCCTCTGCTTAGCAATCAAGCAGCACATTTCTCTACTGATCTGTGAAGGAGAAGGCAGTACTATGACTGACAAGTTAAACTTTTCTTTGCTGTTTTGAACCTCACTGTGCATGAGAATCTCAGCATATGTGTCCATGCCTACATGTGCATGTGTGGGTTTAAATCAGATTCCTAGATTCAGTCCTAAGGGACAATAATCTTAGTAGGGCTTGTGTGTGCCTGGGAACCTGCATTTTAAACAAATGCTTCCTCCTCCTCCTTTATTCGCCTCTCCTCTTCATGATTGTGATTCAAGCTTTGAGAATTTTGCTTTAGATGTAATGATTCTGGTATTTTCATGACCGAGGCAAGAGTTGGGAAAGAGCGCTGTCAAGAGTTCGTCGTGCTGCAGTGAGCTTACTCAGATCTGTTTGTCAGCTCAGCTTTCTGACTGCTTAAAGGGCCAGAGAAGCTGGTTCTTATGGGATTGGCTGACATTCCCTCTCCAATGGAATTTCCTTTGCTGCAGAACCTGTGGCCTGCACCATGCTGTGCACAGATTTTGCTGCTACTCGGTAAGATTTCCTTGAAGTGGCCTAACTGAGTGATGGCTAGGAATGGGACTTGGAGGCCCTGAGAGCACACTGATTGCAATGTGGACGTCATGCAGGGTTTTGCAATGCAGAGGAAAATGGTGTTGGGCCAGTGATCATGTTGGCTGCCTTATGAAATGTACCTCTTGTGCCCTCACAGAGGAGTTACTCTTGATACTGACCAGGGTTAGAGGAAGTGATGAATGTGTTTATATGTATATATAACCCCTGATGAGTTGAGGTTTCTGTGTTTCCAATGGACTTTGATGTGGAGGAGAAAATACATTTCAAGAAGAAAACCCTGTAGGAGAGAAGGCTGGGTGCCTTCCCCCACCTCCAAAGGCAACCAGATAGAAAGCAGGCCCTGAGGATATAAAAATTTGAAGTGCTGTGGAAAACAGTAATTTCAGCTGGGATTTCTGGTGGGTGTGGAGAGATGACTCAGATTCATGAAAGAGAATCAAAGACATCCTGGAAAGAAGAAATGTGGCAGCATATGGTTGTTTTGCCTTTTTCTTTCGAGAATGAGGGAGCTTCAAGAAGGAACAGAGGGCATACACTAGTGTTAGGGAGGACTAGGGAGCTAGATGTCACCTGCCAAGGCCAGAGGTGTCCTCAGAAAGAACAATAGGACATCTTGGTGACAGAAATGGTACCAGTGTTTCCTGGATAGCAAATACCAGGAACTCTGCAGCACTGCTCTCCTCACCCTTCCCATGACAGACATCACCAATGGATCACAGTGCTCTTTTTCATTTGAGGCAGTCATAAGCAGATCAGAGTTAGCACTTTAGATGAGACTAAAGATACTTAAGCATTCCACCAAAGAAGATCAGAGGGAACGTCTCAGCCCAGATGAAATGTAGAAACAAGGCAAGTATCACAGAATGATTCCAAAGCTTCAAAAATCTCGGGATTCTCCAATTTCTTTCTAAGGACTATGAGAAACCTAGGATAATTCATATCAATGATGATAACAGCAGCTATTATTTATCAGGCACTTTCAATATGCAGGCACTGAGCTATTTTTGTTTCATTTAATCCTCACAGCAGTGTTGTGTGGGGCTGACATTCCCATTTTATAGGTAAAGAAACTGAGCTCCGGGAGGTTGACTGACTTTCTCAGGTCAATTAACACAGCTGATAGGTTGTAGCCTATTGTCATTACTATATTTTACCCCCCCCATAGTTACTTCTTATCTCATTCCTCATACTCTCCCTCCAATGTTTATCTCATATTTAGAGTTTACGCATCACCTATAGTCAGGTACCGTTTCCTACACTCTAAAGGTGCAAAACTGCATGGGGGCGCACACACAAATATACACACATCCTCTAAGGGTAGCTTAGCTGTCCCTCCACTGTACTCCCACAGTATCTTATGATTACTCTAATCAAAGCACTTATCACCCTGTTTTTAATTCCCTTATTACTTGTTTATTTCCTAATAAGACAGAAATCATTTAGCACAGGGACATTCTTGTTTAATTCTTCTAGGCTTTCTACAACTAAATTATTGATATTCCCAGTTGTTCTGTAATGTGGCAGAATACTATCTTACCATATATGTGTTGCTCATTGAATACTCTGACATCTCTCTTTTCAATAAACTTGTGTATGGAAACACGGTGTGAACAGTACTTGCCAGTTGTGAAATACTATATTTTTTTCTTTCCCCAAAGAGTATGAGGCACTTTAAGCAAAACGCACATGTATATGCATACTTCTGTCTATATACATTTTAATAATAACAATAGCTGTCATTGACAACTATTGATTGACAACTTAATACATTCTAGGCCTGTGCTAAGACCCCAAGTAACATTGTCTCATTTACCTTTTGCCTTAGGATACGTTTTAAGCATAATTTTTCCAAAAGAGAAAATTGAGGCTCAGAGAAGTTAGGAAATCTGCCTGAGGCCACATAGCCAGGAAATGACTGAGCTAATATTCTGACCTAAAAGGTTTATCTACAGAGTGTCGGTTTTAAGTGGTCATTTAGAATCCAGAGGGCTTGGGCTCAAGATGATCTCCCTCAGTCTGGTGAATGTAGGGTAATGCAAAGGCTTAGCCCCAGCCAGACTTCTGACCAGCTCCCTGAGATTTGTTTATCCCCTAAATTACCTGTGAGAAGATTTCTGCCATCGCCATCTCTCCTCCTCTGCTTGTGGAGAGTGAGCTTAGGAGTGAGGGGAAGCATGCAGAAATCGTAAGCTGACACCTCGCCCTGGTCATTCCCATGACTTATGAGTGCACATCAGACACACAGTTGCCAAACACTCTTGCGTGATACTCATTTTCCTCGGGTCCCAGCTGCCTGTGAGTCCAGAAAGAAAGCTCGGGCCAGCGCCGGGGTCAGCCGAACAAACAGATGGAGATGAGCAGAGGTGACACCCGATCACTCCTCAGCATCTGCTGGGCCTGTTGCGGCTGCTCTGGCAGGCTGATGCCTTGACCCAGCTAATCCTGTTGGTCATCCTGGTGCCGGCTGTATTGTGTCACTCATCCTACCCTTGGGGTGACTTCTGCTTTCCTTTGGAAAGTCAGACGAATAGCGCTGGACTGCATGCCTCCGTCCTAGCCTTGGGTCAGCCAAACCCCAGCATGGACTAAAGGGCTATCCAAGGTGCCAGTCTCTAGGGAGTTTACAGAAGGTGTCAGTCTCTAGGGAGTTTACAGATAATATTAGTCTATCTCCAGGTACTTCCCTTTTTGGTGTTTGTTATCTGACACCAGCAGTGCTTATATTCCTGCTATGGTCAGCTAAGGTTTTAAGAATACAATGCTAAAAGAGTAAAAGACACAGGCATATGTGGGGGTGGTTCTTTGGGTCTATGGCCATAAATTTCATCTATCCCTCTACCTCTCTGATAGTTCCTGAGCACCTGCTATGTGCCAATCACCTTATTAGGGACACTACCAAATCAATAGTGAAAAAATCTAATTCTATTAGTGCTGCCATGGAACACAGAATCTACTAGAGAAGTTGAAAAATAAAGTAGCTAGAAACAGATCGATATAATTACGATTTGAGCAAAGCCATAAAGGAGAAGAGTGTTGCAGGAGGTGGTAGGTGAAGACCTAGAAGTCATTCATTCATTCAAAATATATATACTGGGGCAGGTATGGTGGCTCATGCCTATGATTCCAGCACTTTGAGAGGCTGAGGCAGGTGGATCACTTGAGATCAGGGGTTCGAGACAAGCCTGGCCAACTCAGTGAAACCCCACTTCTACTAAAAATACAAAAATTAGCCAAGTGTAGTGGTGCTTGACTCCTTCTAGGAACTGAAAGGTGGCCCTGGGACTAGGGTGTGGTAGATGGTGGGGAGGAGGAAGGAGATTGGGAAGGCCAGGCGAGCACAGGTCAGATCATACGAGGGAGATTGAGTTTGGTTTTTTTTTTCTGAGTTTAATTTTAAGTTCTGGGATACATGTGTTACCGGATGCGCAGTTTTGTTACGTAGGTAAACGTGTGCCATGGTGGTTTGCTGCACCTGTCAACCCATCACCTAGGTATTAAGCTGCACATGTAGTAGCTATTTATCCTGATACTCTTCCTCCCTGACCCCCAATAGACTCCAGTGTGTGTTGTTCCCCTCCCTGTATTCATGTGTTCTCATTGTTCAGCTCCCACTTATAAGTGAGAATGTGTGGTGTTTGGTTTTCTGTTTCTCCGTTAGTTTGCTGAGATTAATGGCTTTTAGCTCCATCCATGTCCCTGCAAAGGACATGATCTTATTCCTTTTTATTGCTGCATAGTATTCCATTGTGTGCGTATACCACCTTTTCTTTACCTAGTCTATCGTTAATGGGCATTTGGGTTGATTCTATGTCTTTGCTTGTGAATAGCTTGGCTTTTGAGTTTCACTGGAACACACTGAAGGGTTTTAAGCAGTTAGATGACATAATCTGGGTGATATTTTAAAATAACTTGTCTTCTTGCAATGTGGAGGGTATTTGGGGCAGAGCTAGAGCAGAAGAGATAAGATAAATGAAGTGGCTAACACAATGCCTCGGAAAAGCAAAGATAGCTGTAATGGCAGTGCCCACAAGTCAAGGATCTTGAGATTATTCTTTGTGGTCATGTGGACAATAGGTCAAGGGCCCGGGTGACTCAACTTCTCTGTTGTAAGTTACAAATTCTAAAAAATAATCTATTTAGAAAGTACCCTTCTTGTCATGTATTAAGTAGAAGTAACTGGACAACTGAAAATAGATTTTGTGCAAGAATATATGCTGCAATGCTGTTGGTAATAGCAAAAAATTCTCCATGAGTTTTCCAAATATCAAACCTAGAAATTGTTTTACATATCACAGTTCACTGTGTAATGCTATTATATGAAACAATTATCAATTATATAAAATACATCAATTTATTGATATAGACAAATATTCAGTGTAGTAGTGAGTGAATAGAGCATATTTAAAATCAATATGGACCATATTACGATGTCGTTTTTGGTTACATCTGCAAAGAAAACTCTTAAATAACACGCAGCAAACATATTACTGGATTTGAGAAATTATGGGCAATTACAAATCTTTTTATCATCTGTACTTTCTGTTTATTTCACCATATACTAGACTGTGTAATTTTTTTTTAATTTCATTTTTTTTTTTTTTTGAGACAGAGTCTTGCTCTGTTGTCCAGGATAGAGTGTAGTGGCACGATCCTGGCTCACTGTAACCTCTGCCTTCAAGAGATTCTCCTGCCTCAGTCTCCTGAGTAGCTGGAATTACAGGCACACAGCTAATTTTTGTATTTTTAGTAGAGATGGGGTTTCACCGTCTTGGCAAGGCCAGTCTCAAACTCCTGACCTTGTGATCCACCCACCTCAGCTTCCAAAGTGATGGGATTACAGGCGTGAGCCATTGTACCTGGCTGATTGTGTAATTTTAATAATTTAAAAATTATTTTTAATTTTTAAATTATTAGCTGTGATAAGCTTCAAATACGCTATATATATTTATCTATATTATTGCTAAACACGTTGGTTTACTCACTGAGCCCCTGTACATGCCTATTTTCCCCCTTCCTCTTGTTTATAACCTTCATTGATGTCCTTTTGGAATATCTTTCTCACTTTCTTTCCTTGTATCTAAATTCACTCTTCCGTAAATAGGGTGACCATATAATTTCTTGCACAAACTGAAATACTTATGAGAATGAAAGGAGGCTGAGCACAGTGGCTCATGACTCTAATCCCAGCACTTTGGGAGGCTGAAGCAGGTAGATCACCTGAGATCAGGAGTTCAAGACCAGCCTAGTCAACATGGTAAAACCCTGTCTCTACTGAAAATATAAAAATTAGCCAGGTGTGGTGGTGGGTGCCTATAGTCCCAGCTACCAAGGAGGCTGAGGCAGGAGAATTGCTTGAACCCAGGAGGTGGAGGCTGCAGTGGGCCAAGATCATGCCATTGCACTCCAGCCTGGGCAACAGAGACTCTATCTAAGAAAAAAAAAAAAGGAATGAAAGGAATAAATATCATACCAAGACAACAAGTATAAACTGACGTTGTCATAGCCAAATCAGTGTACCTTGTCAATTATAATAACTGC